AATTTAAGCCAAGTTTGTTCTTTTAAGGACCTGCTGTCACTGATGTAGATCACTGGATCTACCTGACCTCTCACTGGCACTAAAGCCATCTCTGCACTGGAGTTCTAATATTCACGCAAAACTAAACTGACACTACACATTTTAAAGTAAATAAACTGAACTGAAACAGTCAAACTCACTGGAAACCAACCAAAACTAAACTCAATTTAAAAATCTAAATAAAAAACCAAATCAGGAAACATAAAACTGTATCAGCAGTGAGGAGTGTGAGCGACAGACTGAAACATCCAATAATGCGTGCACCTCCTTCTGGACCTGCTGCATCTGCTTCTTGTAGTCAGCCAGCTTCTCTCTGAGGTCTGAAGAGTCCTCCTCCTTCCTCTGAAGGTCCACGCTGAGGCTCTTCACCTTCTCTGAGTCCTGCTTGGCGTTTTCCTTCAGCCTGAGAGGGAAAGACGTGATGTTCAGACTCTTTCATGGCTGGATTTTTACAACAAACAAACCAAAGCAGCCTAATAAGTGCCAAAATGAACAACACAGCCAGTGCTTCCCACTCTTTGCTACTTTTCTCCTTGAGAGGATATAAACAGCAGTTTGGGAGAGCGACACCTACAGAGAGAATCTGTTATACAGCGATACATTTCTCATTAGTTAGTATTCCCTTTAACACCGTTTATATAAGAACAACATTTTACTGTCATTTTTCATTGTTAATTAGCAACTCAACCACTTTTATGTTCCAGGGAACCATCTCTAGATTCCAGATTATTAGAGAGGGGCAGAAATTTATCAATACATATCAATACAGGTGGTCTATAATAATTAATTTCATCCTGATCGAGTCAAGGTTTTATTTAGAGATAAATATTCTTCAATGTTCACCTGATACAGTCATGAAATCCTCACAGATGTCGGTAAATAAAAACATTAAATAGTTTTGTTCAGGTGAAGAGGAACAATGTGACCGTCAGTATGAACCCGGCTTCATCTTTCCTGATTTTTTGTTGTTACTTTAGAAGTTATAATTAGACTCAAACAGAAAATTCTCATTTAGCATCAGTAACACTGTGAGCGCTGCGCTCTGCTGAGAGCAGCTGCGCACTAATGCAGTCATTACAGGCAGGCTCAGCTCTGCGATGATGAGTTTCTCATAATAGCAACTCTTGTAGATAAAACTCATCAGAATGATTGAAAGCATGTGTTTCACAGTGATTTGGAAGAGCAGATAAGTGAGGGAGGCGGAGGCGGGATTTTAGAGAGCGGAGATATGTTACACTCCAGCTGTAGCGGGAAGCGAAGCGTCTGTAATCCTGAGCTAAATATAACATGAAAAGGCTTTGATCAGTTTCACTGGACTTAACAAGTGTCGGAGCGTGATGACGTAGCAGCTACAGGCCCAAACACAGATCTAAACACAATGACGAGTTACCTGCTGATGTCCTCGTCTCTCTTCTTCAGCTCGGCTTCCTTCTGAGCGATGGCCTCGTGCGCCGCCGCCAGCAGCTCCCGTCTCCTTTCGACCTCCTTGCGCCGGGCCTCCTGAACGGCTTGGCACTCGTCCTCCTCGCGCTGCTCCTGAGCCTCCTGCAAACTCTTCTTCAGGGATGTCACCTGTGCATCCTTTTCCAGCAGCTCTTTCTGCAGCTCTGCTAGCTTCTCCTCCATCTGACCGTCCTGTTCCTCCAGCATCCTCTCGGTCTCTGAGGACGACGGCTGAG